AGAGAGAATTTTTTAATATTTATTTTTCAGTTCTCGGTGGACACAAAATCTTTATTTTATTTGTATGTGGTGCTGAGGATTGAACCCAGCGCCCCGTGCATGCCAGGCAAGCGCATTACTACTTGAGCCACATCCCCAGCCCAATAAATTTTTTATTTTACCTTCACTTATTCCTTCTCTAGTGGTCTTCCTTTCCCTTTTCTTTCTTCTTCCTCATCTTTTATTTTTTTAATTTCCTTTTTTGAAGATCCAAGTTTCTAGCTGTCAGGTTTGTGTACACTGAGTCCCTGGTGGTTGGTCAATTACAGATCAGGTTTCCTACCTGCTCCTGTTCCCACCGAGCTACCTGCTCTGTATGTCGGTCTCTGTAACTACTGGTCCTTCTCTCCAGTTTTAGGGACAGCAATTCCCTGTGACCTCACTCAGGCAGATGAAAGACAAGTTGACGATTTTTCAATTGGTCCAACTTTTTACTTCTTAGAATGGGGGTGTGGCTTTTAAGGTCTTTACTTGCCAAACGGGAACTGGAAGTCCACAAACATATTTTTTTGTTGTTTTGTTTTTGTTTTTATCAGCCTATGACAGAAAAAGAAAGAAAGAGAAGCAGAAAATGAAAGAAAGCATTGAGAGATGTTCCCAGCAACTGGACATTGCACAAGAACCAAGTGTGTGATTCTATACTAAATAAAATCTCTCTACAGCGGCCATAGTTTGGATCTTGAATGCCCCCAAAAGGCTTTGTGTTAAAGGCTGGTCTTCAGAGGGGTGCTATTGGGAGGCGATGGTATCTTCAGGAGGTGAAGCCTACTCACTGGGGGCTGTGGCTTCAAAGGTGATTGTGGGACCCTGATCTTTCCCAGTTTCCTTTGCTCCTGGGCTTGTGAAGTCAATGGTTTTGCTCCGCCATGTGCTCCCCCCATGCTTTGCTGCCTTGCCACAAGCCCAAACCAATGGGGCCAACTGATCATGAACCAGAATCTCCAAACTATAAGCCAAGATAAACCTTTTCTCCTTATAAGTTTATGATCTTGGGTATTTTGTTGTAGCAACAGAAAACTGGCTAACACAAATGGCAGATTAGAAATTGGAAAGAAAAGAAAGCAACAACAATTAGTCCTTCACGGCACAGACAGGAAGATGGGACCTGGAGGCAGTCAAGAAAGGGAGAGGGAGACAATTGGGGATTGTATTCCATCCTTCCAGTTGTCTAGGAGTTTCCTGAGAGCCCAGGAAGGTCAAGCAGTCCGGCATGCTTAAGCAAGGATAAATATGAGTGTGCGAGGTGGATGTGGTGGACAGAGCAGACCCTCACCACTCCCCATGACCTTGCTCTTGCTATTAGAGGAACCTTCCTAAAATGAGATGCGATCATGTCAGATCCTTAGTTAAATTCTTCAGAGATGCCCTTCTGCCCAACACTCCTCAGTTGTCATTCCCGAGGTCTCACCTGATTGACAGACTCAACAGCTGCTTCCCACCCTCTAGCCCGTCCGCCCTTCTCAGTTTTCCTAGAGCAGACCTGGTGCCCTGCCACCTCCAGGCCTGAGCTTCTGCTCCTTCTTTGGTCTAGAAGGTTCTTCCTCCTCTTGGCCTTTCCAGGCAACAGCCCACACTTCCTTTAACACCTGTCTTCTTTATTTTTATAATTTTGTGTGTGCGTGCAGAGGATGGCACTCAGCTCCTTGCACGTGCTAAATATGCACTTCGCCATCGAGTTCCTCTCCCAACCAACATCTGCCTTTTTGAGACTGTCACACACCTGAGGCCAAAGGCACAGACCAGGCCCAGGGGCTCAGTCAGTCAGTCCTGAGCGCACCTGGAGCCAGAGAGGGAGCTGACCAGTGGAGCCAGGCCTTGGATAGTTCCACAGCTGGTATCTTCACGTCTGGAAAGAGGGAGGTGTCTTCGACCTTTAGACAGATGTCATCGCCAAGACGCACTGGAGCCAGCATCTCAGTGTCTGAGCTCTGGGGTGAGGTGGGGGGACAGGGAAGAGGTTATAAGACTGGGTGGCAGGGAGTAGCTTCCAGCATGGAGGCAGCTCTGCTGGGTCCCCATCCTTCTCAGGGGAGATGCTCCAGAGCAGGGATGGGTCAGCTTTTTTCCAGACAGTGACTATTTGGGGTTTTCTGGGCCAGGCTATTGCTCTTACAACGACTTTCTCATTGCAGAAGTCGTAGGCAAGGGGGCTGTATTCCAGGAACACTTTCTTATAAAAGTGTTCCATTTACAAAAACAGGCTTCAGACCAGATTCTGAAGACAGAAAACATCCCCCTGATGCAGCGTCCTCTTACCAGCTGTCCGAGGCCTCCTGGGCTTGAAAATTCAGAGTTCCTGACTCCCCAGGTCTTTTCTCTGTCTTAATCTGCCTCTTCTGAAAGGTCCTTCACTGGTGAAGTAAGAAGTGAATGGCGCACCTTAGGCACCCTGTGACTCTGAGATCTTTGACCCAGGTTTTAAAAAGGCAGATGCAGGAAACTCTTATCATGAAAACATTTGGGGACTAAAACCAGGCCACAGTATAATTTCGTACTGTCAGCAGACCCTGCCTGTGTGATGGCGGCCATGTGAGTTTGGGACCTGAGAATAGAATTTAACTGATCATAAACTGGGGTGAGGCTGGGAGTCAGGGGGAATCCCATCCATGCAAAGATGGCTAATATCTTTGAGGCTATAGAGTGGCAGACAGAAGAGCGTTCCATAAATTTAGTCGGTAGACATTAAAGACAAGCATCGCAGCCCTTAGGTTGACAGACTCTATACAATGGCCAAACTGAACCGCTGTGTGTGTTAGCATCCCATTACTGCAGCAAGTACCCAAGACGATTGACTAATAAAAACAAAAGTCTTCTTTTGGCTCACGGTGTTGGAGGTTGGGCCCACGCTCTATGAGCTCAGTTGCCTTTGGGCCTTCGGCAGGGCATTACATCACGGTGGGAAGACCAGGTGAAATCAAGCCATCGCTTCATGAAAGGGGAGGACAGAGAAAGGCTTTAAAAGAGAGGAAGGAAGGAAGAAGGGACAGGGTCCTGCTTCAAGGTCACAGCCCCAGGGACCTCAGCCTCCCACTCAGCCCCCCTTGTGACGTTTCTATCCCTACTCAGCACCGCCACTCTGGGGAGAGAGCCTGTAACACATGGGCTTTGGGGGAACATTCTAGAGTCATGGTAAACCCCATGCAAATTAGAACCCAGAACCATGGTGTCCTTGAAACCCTGACCGAGCCCATGCCAGGGAAGGAGGTGACGGAGGAGGCTCACGACACCAGAGCCTGTTCTCAGGGGCTCCATGGAGGTCACGCTGCCACCCTCCCTCTGCACAGCCACCCGTCAGTACGCCCTTTGTCAGCTTCACTGAATGGAACCACCTAGGAGTGAGGCGTGGGCCAGGGGAGCTGCAAAGCTGGGCTCTGAGAAAGAGAGAGAGAGTCTTCAGGTGACAGTCGCCTATTCTGAAAGCCAACTGGAGCGAGACTTGGTTCCCACCGTCACCCAGGTGCACTGTAGTCTGAAGGGGGCGGGTACCTCTGAAATTTCTGAATCTTCTCTTACGTTTTAGATCTCTAGACACCCCTCCCCCAAAAGCTGACAGTCCCGATGTCCCTCATTTCTTATCTGACGTCCAAACAACTTGTACATTCCATTTCAGTTCACCACCCACTCACGGAGCAGCCGTGTCCTTAACGGATCCGGTGGAATCTGCAAGGTGTGGAGTATCAGCTCATCATCGGTCACACAGATGGGTAAACCAAGTCCCCTTTCCTGCATCCGCCTCCCACACGAGCGCAGTGTGTGTAAGTTCATAATTTTATACCTTTTTCTTACATTTACCTTGGGACATTTAGTCTTCCTTTTTAAAGTCCATTTTGAGTGAATTTATTGACAATTTTGAAGAGGACTAGTTGATCTCAGTTCATTTTAATATTATGTACTTTTATGCTTGAGTTATTTACCACGGGGTTAGTTATGGACCGATTTTATTTGTCATTTTATGGCATACCTATTTTCAGTGGAGACACTTAGGCTAAGCTGTATTTATTTATACCACAGTACATTAACCATAAAACGATCTAACTACAGGAAAACCACCATAATCTGGAGCCCTCAGGGAGTGGGTTACTGAAGATAGCCAAGTTCTAAGAATTTAACATGAACTATTTGTGTGGGAAATCTTTGTTGAATGGATCAGACCTTTGCCTCTCATCTTGGAAACAACATACAGAGTCTCCTTTAACTTTGATGATAGCCCACAATCATGAGTGAGCACTGGACTTCCTAACTCAATTTGCATTCAAGGACTCTTTTTTGTTTTGTGTTGAGGTAGCTCTGTTGGCCTGTTTTGTTCCTTTTAGTTATTTTCGGTAGCTCTTTTGGTTCTCATTGGAATTTCACCAGGCAGCCTTCCCACTGCCTGACCTGCAGTTCTCCTTGGTCCTTCAAAGGGCTGCTTTTATGCTTCTGCAGACGTGGAGGCCAGGCAACCGGACTCATTAGAGGACAGCCTGCGCGAGTGAGAAGGGCCTCCCGGAGGCCACCGGCAGCTCAGACTGTGCAGTGCTGTCTGCAGTTGCAGACAAGCCTGCCCCGCCTGAAGCACCCTTTCCAGCCGCAGGGCTCTGCAGGGCTCATTCCGGGCAGGGCAGGGGAGCAGCGGGCCTAAGGCAGCTAGTTAAACACCTTACAATACAAAATCAACTCGAAATAGGCCAGGTAGCGCACGCCTGTAATCCCAGTGGCTTGGGAGGCTGAGACAGGAGGATCTCGAGTTCAAAGTCAGCTTCAGCAACTTAGTGAGGCCCTGAGCAAACTCAGTGAGACCCTGTCTCTAAATAAAGTACAGAATACGGCTGGGGATGTGGCTCAGTGGTGGAGTGACCCTGAGTTCAATTCTCAGTACCCCTCCCAAAAAATCAAGTTTAAAATAAGCTCCGTTTTAAATCACAGTTTATTAAACGATGCCTATTTTGTGATACCGCCCTCCTAATCTGCTGACTCCCTGCTTCTTTCTTTCTTTTCCTTCTTTGCTTTCCCACAGGTGGGATTTGAACCCAGGGCCCCAGGCATGAGAGGCCAGGCCTATGACTACCCCCCCCCCTCCCCCGGGCTTTTGGCTTGTGTATTCATCTGAGGCTAAAACTAAAGCCTTAATTCTAAAAAAGCCTATCTAGTCAAAACCGTAGAGTCCATAACGATTCTGATGTTTCCTTTGGGTCTTGCACATTATTAGAGGAGCATTACGTACATGTGTTGGGTTCCGAGCACAGTGACAATGGAAACTGTTGACAGGGCTGGCAGAGGGCCCTCAGACTGGGAGCCTCCAGGGCCTTAGGTTCACTCACGTGCAGCTTCTCAGCTTCTCGGGGATCTGCACCATCTTCCTGGCAAGGTCATAGAGCAGTGTGGGATGATGTGGTTCCTCTGCCAGAGCCCAGGACAGCAAGGTGCAGAGGGCTGGAGTGGCTGGCCCAGGGCTCAGCATTGTCAGGTTTGGCCTCAGACCCAGCAGGGTTTCCCACCCTTCCTGCGGGCACAGGCTGGGGAGGAAGAGGGGGCACCCGTCCTGACTGCGTAGGTCGGGGCTGCCAACCCTCTGAGCCCATGGAGTGCCAGGTCACACACACAGGAGGGAGCTTGGTCACAGGCATGTGATCCTGAAGGGGAGACTTCTTGTCATCCTGCTGTTGCCAGAGAGGGCCGGAGACCCTCTATTTGGGAGACCGTCTATTTGGATGTGACAATCAGCTTCAACTGGCCAGCTGGGGTCAATAATTTGGGGATACTGGTACTGAATATAACGGCTTTGATTATTACCTTAGATAGTAGTCCAGTGTTTTTAGAGAACTAGGTTTTATTTTGTGTAGTTGTATTTTGGCTATATATTAGTTAATAGTTAATTAGTTAATAAAATTACTGTATTTTAAAATTAGGTACATAAGTGGGAATGAATTCTGATCCATTGCTCCTCTTCCTCCTCCTCCTCATCTTCATCCTCCTCTTCCTCTTCTTCCTCCTTCTCCTGTTTCAGTATTAGGGATTGAACCCAGGGGTGCTCTACCACTGAACTACATCCACAGCCCTTTTAAATTTTCATATTGAGACAGCATCTTGCTAAGTTGCTAAGGTTGGCCTAAAATTTGCAATCCTCCTGCCTCAGCCTCCCAAGTTGCTGGGATTACAGTTGTGCACTTACCATACCCAGCTGATCCATTTCTAATACAAACAATATCTCTATGGATTGTATTGAAAATACAAGTCCTCTTAATTTTTGGATTTTAAAATATAGCTCATCTTCAATGTCATCTACAAATGTAATGGCTTATTGTTTAAGAATTACTAAGGATCCCTAGCACCAAAAAAAAAAAAAAGTTGATGATTAGATGAATTAATCCGATGTTTTTGATGGTTTACTGACAGATGTTATATTTCATACAGATTCACATTTAAATAAACCTTTAAGAAATTTGGCTCGTTTTTGTTTTTGTTTTTTTCCATTTCTTTGTGGGTTTGTATGGTCAGACAGGAGATCGCTTCCCAAGACATCAGCTAAAGCCCAGAAATCTAAAATGTCATTAACCAGTTTAGTTTGAAAAAAAAAAAATCAGAAATTTAGGCTGATCTATTTATATGAACCGACGGGTGCTGCCAAGTTAATCCTGTAATTAAAATTCATTTCTCAAAGATGTTACTATAATCTTAGAAATATTAAAGATTTAAACCCTAAAGATTGCTATGGAAATGATTAAATTTTCTCAATTATTTCTCCCCTCTCTCCCAGAGTGATTAATTTCACTTTCTGTGTCTCAATCCTTGAGCCAGAAGGCTTCTGCGGAGGCTCCTGACTCAGGGAAACCTGTTTCCTGGATCATCTCGGTTAGACACACAGCTGCCGCCAAGACGCTCCCTTTGCAAGCACGGGTTTTAAATTATGGCCAGTCCAGAGGCCGAGCTGGAAGAACACCTGTCAGGGACGGTTTTTCTACCAGGAGATGGTCTCTTTCATCGCATTTCACTGTAGTTCAGAGAAAGGTTCATTTGAAAATGTGGCACCTGCTTCTAGGATTCAAGCTCCTCTGCTGAAACACCAGTTTGGAATTTATTTCTGACGTTATTCTATGGTGCAACGAGAAACTGCGACAAAGTGTCTAAAAGGGAAGGAAGGACTTTCCCAGACTTGATTTGCAACTTTCCCTGGTGAAAAAAAAAAAAATCTAAAAAAATGTATTTTTCAACTTTTCTGTGTGAATATAATTAATGAAAGGAATTCTTTGGAGCAAACTTGAACAACATTGGAGGGAGATGGTGAAAACATTTCATGAACGCTGGGTGATTTTCCTGTGTTGAGATTGGTTACATTTATCTGTGAACGATGCCAAGTATCACTGATACTGACTGGTGCTTGGAGAGACTTTGAACTTGGCTCTCATGGGGAGCACCCTGAAGTCCGTTCATCGCAGGTACTTTCTCACGTCCGCAGACCCCATTGTGTAACGATCAGAAGACAAACTTCATTTTGCAAACTGTGATTTAATGGTAGAACAGTGTGCAGACCCGAATATCAGTTAATTTTCAAAACATTTTATTCTACACCAATTAGCTCAGGTCCTGGAAGGCAGAATGACAAGAGGTTACTCATTCGCTATGTATTTAATTAATTGAAAAATGCTCAAATTGCTTTTACAGTTGTTATTAAAAAGTAGAATCAGTGTTGCCAGTGCTCAACCATAATTGGAACCCCAGGGAATTAAATATTTAGCATTAGTAATGTAACAGCACTTAGGACACAAATTTCTATTTTCGTAATGAAAGCTATACACTGCGAGTGCAAGCAGCAGAAAGGACAGATGTGACAAGCCGAGCGGCCTGGGATATTTCAATAAGACACCTCATTGGACAGCAAGTCTTACCACATTACCCGTTTGTAAGAGACCTGCAAGTTTAATTCCCAACAGAAACCCGTTACCCAAGTATTTAGATTTCTAATTGCATCCGGGACGAACAGCCGGGCAAATGTCTTGCTGTAAGGGGCTGGAAATGTAGGCCGCTTTCTGAATAATCCTATATAAGTTCATGCCTTTGTCAATTTAAAAATAGCGGGACTGCCCGAGAATAAAGATCTTGTTTGTTTTAAGTTTAATTACATTTTAGGCATACATGTTTTCAGTGCTACAGTGAGAAAACTTGGATGTGGAGCTCTAATGAGCTGTAGTGGTAGACGGCTGGAGACCCTGAGGGATTCACTCCGTAAATTAACTGGATAAAAGTACTTGGTTAGGATATGGTTGATGGCTGAGCTGTTCTTAAAACCCAGTTATAGAGCTGTCTCTCACCGCTGTTTTCATTCTAAACAGGCCCTGTAGAGACTTAAACAGCCGCCTGTTACAACTGTTCAACTTGTCAAAATGTGTTATATGACTTCACTAATAAATAGTATTAAAGGGTATTTGACTTCGTTTCTGGTTTTCAGAGGGGATCAGGTTGATAAACACAACTGGCTTAGGTTGGCCTTCTTTTAATTTGTTTATGTCATCTAAGTAACATGGGAGGCCCACGCTTGGAATTTGCAAACGTTACTTTCCTGGAGACGTAAAACTTACGATAGAATATGTACCATGGAAACAATGAGTGGAGACTATTTATTACAGAATGTTTGTTCTTGAAAGATGGATGACTTTGGCGTTCTCAGCTTGCGTTCCAAGTCTTGGGAACCTCCTGGCTACCCTGCCATTCTTTGAAGCGTGGCTAAACTAATTCCTTTGCCCATCCTTCTATCTGTTCTTGAAAAACTGGTTGTAAGAAAAATTAATTTCACAATTTTCTTTGTCTATTGTTCCTGTGTCTGGTTTTTGGTAATTTATTTTAATTGATCATGATCTCTTATCTATTCTTAAGAAATTTTAAAAACAATATATACTTACTTACTTTATTTATTTATCTATCTATTTATTTATTTATTTATTTGGTACTTGGGATTGAACCCAGGGGCACTTAATGACTGAGCCACTTCTCCAGCCCTCTTTTGTATTTTATTTAGAGACAGGGTCTCACTGAGTTGCTTAGGGCCTCGCTAAGTTGCTGAGGCTGGCTGTGAACTCATGATCCTCCTGCCTCAGCCTCCTGAGCTGCTGGGATTACAGATATGCACCACCGTGCTGGGCCATATGCTTAGTTTAAAAGAGAAAAAAAAAAAGTTTTTTTTTTTTTTTTTTTTTTAATAAACTCTCCCCCAATTCTGCTTTCTTGCCTGGCGTTCACCTTTGCTATCTGGTTTTATTTTATTTTTTTTGGCGGGGGGAACTAGAGATTGAACTCAGGGGCACTCAACTACAGAGGCACATCTCCAAACCCTATTTTGTATTTTATTTAGAGACAGGGCCTCACTGAGTTGCTTAGTGCCTCAAAAAGTTGCTGAGGGTGGTTTTGAACTCATGATCCTCCTGCCTTAGCCTCCCAAGCCTCTGGAATTACAGGTGTGCGCCACATCGCCCGGATTTTTGCTAACTGCTTGAAGGAGTCCTTTTACAACATTTTTCAGGCCATTACACATGTGCACATATAGATATATGTTCATATGTGTGTGTGTGTTACATCTAGCGTAGTTAAAGAACAGAATTCAGACAATTCCATAGAACTCTGCAACTTGTTTTTTTATTTCCCCATTTATCACAGACATCTTTCCATATTGCTGCCCCAGATCATCCTCGTGGTTTTGAATAGCTAACTGTTATTCCACGTCCTGGAGGTAATTTTATTTACCTATTGCCTGTTGATATCATCCAAGTCACCCAGGTTTTGCTGCAGCAACCAGTTAGGCGGTGAACCTCCATCTATGAGCGATTTGGTAGCACCCGTAACTGCACAGCTCTGTGCATTTATCATAATAAACCACTGATGTACCATTTATTGATTACTTGATTATTTTGTTCAAAGCCCTTTACATATAGAACTCATCCCATCTTTAAAATAATTAAGAGCTAAAGGGTATTGTTACCATCCCTATTCTTCATATAGGGAAACTGAGGCACCAAGAGGTCAATGACCCCAAAGCCACATGGTGAATCAGCAGAGCCTTCAAACTCACGAGGTTAGGTACATCAGAGTCTGAGCTCCGGACCAGTATCTTGTGTGGACAGAAACACCGCAGAGTTTTCCTTACGCTTGACCTTTCCTTTGCAGTGGCTTTGAACCTGGCTTTGCATATTAGTTGCCTTTACGTTTCTTCAGAGGATGGGCCAGGCTTGGTCTCCCTGTGCTGCTATCTTCTTGTCAGATTACCAAAGATCCTTACGGATCATGGTGTGCCTCCACTCTACATCACCAAATATGTTTCTCTCAGCCGACAACCTGTATTTCCACTTTATTTTAATATTATCAAGTTTTGCTTCATGGATTGGGGTAGAAGGAAACCTTTCCAAGATGCCAATAGGACAAGTTTGTTTTCCTGTGTTTTTTTTCTACTGCTTTTAATTTTTTCCGAGTTTTTATTGTTAGCCCATGTGGGATTTCTTTGAGCGTGGGAGGGAAGACCAGATCTTTTACTTCCAGTAACATCTGCAGTTTCCTGTTGCAAATGCCCAGTTCTTTTTCCTCCATAGTGTGAAATATGCCCTTTGTCTAAGGCATCTTCCACCTACATATGTCTCTGGGCGGCCAGTCCTTTTGGAATATTCTACTTAGGCGACATTTATGTCTAATTCTGCACAGTCACACCTTCTTTTGTCATTGTACGTAAGTTTAAGTCTTTTTTAACTTTTTAAAATGCTGTTTGTCAGGTACATGTAATTACCAAAGTAATACCTATTTCTGTTAGAGTCTGTAAACAAGTCTGGATGGCGCCTGGCATTTTGCCAGAGGGAGTGGTTTGTGAAGTAACACCAGCGAGCCATTAAGTGTGGAGATTCCTTATTGGTTGACTGCTGTATCTAGTTTATGTTAATTAAGATAAGCTGTGTGGGATGGATATATACCCCTCCTGTCCTACAATAAACGGCTCCCACTCCTGCTGTATCAATCTACACAAGTTGTTCGTCACCCCCCCAGTTATTTTGCTGCAGCTGGACTGCAGCATATTTCTAAATTCACAGATGCACATTGTTTAGAAAGGTTTAAATAATGGTAGACCAGATAATGATCTTCCAGAGATGTCCACATCCCCTTCCTAGAACCTGTGAATACATTATGTCACACGGCAAATGGCAACTAAGGTTACAGATGGAACTGAGGTCACTCATTGGCGACTTCCTTGAGGTGAGGTCACCTTGGATTGTCCAGGTGGACCAGTGTCATCATGAAGGTCCTTAAATGTGGAAGAAAGCAGCTGAAGAGTCGATGTGAGTGGACACCACGTGAGAGGGACAGAACAGAGTGTTGCTGGGGTCAGTGGAGCTGAGAGCCCGGGAACGTGGACAGCCGTGGCCCTGGAGAGGAAAAGGAAGTGGACTCTCCTCCAGGAACTTGTGAAGAGGACAAAGCTCTGCTGACACCTTGGTTCTGGCCCAGAGAGACCCAATTCAGAGTACCTACCTCCAGAACAGGGAGATGATAAAGGGGGCTTCAACTGCCAATCTTGCGGTGATTTGTTACAGCAGCAAGAGAAAACTCATACAAAGGCGAAAACAGAAAACTCTTCCCCCCATTTTCTAGTCCCTTTTCATCCTCTCCTGCCCAACTGTAGGCCAATTCCTCAGGGTAAACAACTGAACCGTTTGCCGGGTACTATTCTGGCTACAGAAAGTTTTGTAGGATGTTATGGTTATTTATTAAGGCAAGTCCTATTTTTTTTCCAAAAGAAATGTTGATTTCTAAAATGTTTATTTTTTCAGGTGAATGTCTGAATTTCTTTTTAAATTTTATTTTAAAACCCCTTTAGGATTTTGATGGGGAATAGATTGAATTTATAGATTAATTTGGGGGACGATACTTTCCCTAATCCTGACTCCTTCAGATACCCCACAATAATGGCTGATATATATTTCTTGAATGAGTAAATATGAGTTTTGTTTTTGTTTTTGCAGAAAAGAGGGCATAAATGCTCAATTATTATCTAAATACTCTGTATTTTTTTTAAATGATCCACTTAACTTAGATTTTCAATCCATGCTTGTGAAATTTCTACATAATATTTTCATTTAAAAATCTTCTCTATATTTATAATTGTATTTGTTTTGTTTTTAATGCAAATGGATTTAATCTGGTTTCCCCACTTCTTTTCTGGATCACACTTGGCAGAGTTTTACGTTCTTGATCTTTTCATTTTTTACCAAAAAGAAAGAAAGAAAGAAAGAAAGAAAGAAAGAAAGAAAGAAAGAAAGAAAGAAAGAAAGAAAGAAAGAAAGAAAGAAAAGTTTGGATTTTATCGATATCTTCTTTTTCCAATTCTTTGATCTTCCTTTTGAAAAAAAGTACTATCTTTTCCTCACCCATTGCAAGGTCTGTGATGAGCCTTTTTTTTTTTTAAGGTATTCTATTTTCTGTTGTAGTTGGACACAGTACCTATTTTTTAATTATTTATTTGTTTTTATTTTTTATTTATTTTTATTTATATTTATTTATTTTATTATTTATTTATGTGGTGCTGAGGATCGAACCCAGGACCTCACACGTGCTAGGTGAGTGCTCTACCGCTGAGCCACGACCCCAGCCCTGTGACTGAGACTTTATAAGAAAAAGATCAGGAGAAAAGCATACTCATTTATTTAAATGTAGTTTCACATGAAACCAGAAACTCCAGAAATGAAGACTCAATAAAGCAGGGAAATCTGGGTTTCACGCTCAGGTCTGATGAAGAGTGGACACAGCTACAGAGGTACAGCTGGTCAGAAGCCGGGGGAAGCTTAGGCCCGTGTATTCAGATTCTTCTTGGCATCCTGTGGGACATCCCTCCCTCTGGGAATAGGACAGGACATCTGTCACATACAGGTAGAAGGTCAGAAAGTGACATTCCTGGATTTTATAGTTTGCCTCAGGCAGGATGGAGAGCGAGGTGGGAGAGGCCCTCCCTCTCCTGCTGTGTTCCCAGCTTCCAAGCTGTGGCATTTCAGGGTAGTGTGGCCTGAACCCCACCACCTCCTCATTCTTCTTTTCACCCCATTTTGGTTTGTATCATCACCCTTTTCTGGGTCTTCTGGCAGAATGCCATTTTTTTTTCTTCGTTTCTTTTGGTCTTTTCAACATATTTTTTCTTAGGCTATAAATGATCCTCTAAGTTCGGTTTTGGCTGTGCCCCGTTTTTGTGTGTTATGGATTTCATTGTCTTTCATGACTGAATAGTTCATGATTTTACACCTTTATGCTTTCCTGTCCAAAGAGGTATCTTGAAAAAGAGCATTTCAAAAAGCACTTACGTGGTGGGGAGAAGGTGGAGTGGGAGTAGAATGCTATCATTTATTTTTCATTTCTAGCTCTCTTCCCCAACATCCCTAGAGAAAAGAGCCTCTGTGATTT